TTTATATCCACACACGCACGCACACAGGCGCGCACGCACGCACGCAAACACACTCCCAGCCCCAGACATCCATCCGTTACCGCCAAGGATTTCATTCCATTTGAAGCAGTAGTTTTCTGTTGTTGAGAACATTTTTCTGATAAACAGTTATCCAAACTACAAAACTATTGTTAAAATTACGCTACCGACAGCAACGCAAAATCAGATTCATTTAGATGCACTAATACCAGAAAATCAACAGTCGCAGTGTATAGTTCTCATGTTGTCTCCCCGCGGTAAAATCCAAATCTCATTAGACCCCTGATGAAACTGAAGGCGACCCAGGCCACCCAGGGGCACGTGATCACTTTACGCGAAGATATCCCGCCTCAGCATATCTTATACTTCTTACTTTGTAATTATATTTGGGCGTGTTATATTTGCTCATGCTGGTTTCATTCGGCCTTCCCTACCAGAGACTCCAATAACACCACTCCATTAATGAAATTTCAGAAAATATAAATGGAGTTTGAAAATCGAAAAAAAACCCGAGTGTTAGTTTAGCCAGGGTTAGTAGATACATGAATTAGAAAGAAAATGAGATTTTAATTATTTACCGTAATGTTCCCTCCCTGGAATTATTTCTATCTTGGAATGCAGTTAACAAGTGTTCTGTCTGACAGGAGGACTAGGAATCTCAGACGGGTCTGATCTCATTGCATATTATTGTTCATAAGGCTGCTGAAGATGGTATTTGGTAATTCCACACAATGGTTGCATGGAGAACTGGAACAATTGAAAGTCTATCAGGCCCACTTATCCTGAAGGTACTTCTTAGGATCGCATTATTTACAAGGTAGCTCTGATTGAAATTTAAGCACAATATGGCAGTGACTTTCTTATTTGATGAGGAATATTACGTATGTCATTTGACTGGAGTTCACATAAATATGATCAAAAAAGAATGAATGATACATACTCTGTTTTGTAAAATCCACACCCAATGCATGACGGTCACTCGGGGATTATCAAATCCAAACTGTTTTAATGAAATCTATCCATCTCTCCGTTTAGTATATCAAACCCAAACTTCTATAGGCGTTCGCCTGAATGTTGTCGATTACAACAAGTACTTTGAACCGAGGTTGTGAGGTCGCTTTGACCTTCATTACACTTCTACCAGTCAGGAATAAATGGACTTTTCATAGTGTTCGCCCAACACTGAGGTATCAAGCCACTGTTTAATGTCAATGCCCAAATCAATGCATTTGTACTACAAACTGTGAGTCGATCGGTTGACCCGTGAAGATCAGGGCCTAGATTTTCGAAGCTCTCTTAGCGCTAAGATAGTCGTAAGTTAATGTTAATGGCACTTACGACTATCTTAGCGCCAAGAGAGCTTCGAAAATCTAGCCCCTGGGTTGTGCCGACTAACGTGATCGAGTGGTCCGCCTCGCTGACTTGGTTGTCACATGTTATCGTATCCCAGTTGCGTAGATCGATGCTAATGTTGTTGATCACTGGGTTGTCTGATTCAGACTAGATTATTTACAGACCGCCGCCATACGGCTAGCATATTGCTGGGTGCGGCGTTAAACAACAACCATCCAACCATCGATCGGGTGAACCACTACGCCAGAGAGGAGACTTCAATTGGGTCAAGACTGCGTAACCCATATCATATGAGATCTCTTTTGATATTCATGCACATCACTGACATAAATGATGCATGCCTTTAGATTGCTGTATGTTGGATTTAGACCGACTTGGGGTTAATCAGTATTTGGAACTGTGGCATTTTTTAGCACTGTTCTTATTGTAAAAACTGTCGACACAAGTGAGTGAGATCATGTCCTTGGGTAAACTTGACCAAACACAGATGCTGCTTTAACTTTCTGGAGTATGAGGTAGCCTTGCTCCAAGGAGGAAATCTGTTATTACATTTTTGGGAAATTTTAATTGAAACTATTAATTATTACCTTAGACACTTATGAACATGACTTTAGACCAACGCTGGCTCTGTCTCACGTTCCCTGAACGGCATTATTTTTTTCTTCTGACCAGCCCTTTCTGCAATGCTAAAGCCCTAAATGAAGCAAGTGTAGATTACCTCAGCTTCTGAATCTGCCAACTCACTTGGGCTCCTTTTCAATTTAAATGGGTTTATTTGTTACTATCAAAATTATACATATTCAGGGACTAAACGTGAGCCTAACACATGGTGTGTGTGCCCCATCTGCAGCATATGTATATCGTGCAAGATCACACAAATATGTATGACTCAATGTTCTACACTAAAACGACCTCAAGGAATTGTTGAGTTGTCGCCATGGCAACTGACATTTGACACTCGACACATTCACAAAACTTTTAACATATGTAGTTCTGAAAATGCATCCAGATGTTCAAGAAGAGAACGGCGTGGATCCACAGGCTTTATGTAAGGTCTGCCCCCTTTATGAGTGCACGCAATTCCCCTGGATATGGCTTACTAATGGAACACAATCGCACATGCCTGCTATCAAAACACACCGTCAAATATTGCCTCTTTATTACATGTGCAAGTAGGGCTTGCGGCACCATAAAGGCTCACTAGTTCTGGTTCTAAGGATTATCTTCTTGATACAGTGGACCCTGATTAATCAGGACATTATCATCCTGACATCGTCTCGAATATAGGAGTAACGTCCCAGAGGAAGAGACAGAGGGGCGAGCGTGAGGGGGAAGCTAGGAGAGAGAGAGAGGGGGGGAGAAGCGAGAGAGTGAGGGGAAGCTAGGGGGAGAGAGGGGGGAGCTAGGGGAGAGAGGGGAGAGAGAGGGAACAAGAGTCAGGGGGAAGCTAGGGGAGAGGGAGAGAGAGAGGCTGAGAGAGGGGAGCGAGAGTGAGGGGGAAACTAGTGTAGAGAGACAGAGAAGGGAGGGAGGGAGGGGGAGGGCTGAGCGAGACAAAGAGAGAAACAGTGAGAGAGACACACACAGAAAGAGAGAGGGGGGAGGGGAGAGAGAGACTTGCGACACCCCTCGCCGTCCATCCTGCTCACATAAATTACGCTTGATACAAACTTGCGACCCTTGCTCTGATGATCGATCTCTTTGACCAGAATAACGAACGAATGCTCCAGATAGTCATACGTGACTCTTTAGTGCAGAGCAAATTTGCAATTCAAGCTGGAAGTGGTCGAACGGTCCAGGAGGGTGTTAACAGTCACAGGAATACCATACTATTCATCCAAACCCGCACAATCCAAATATCGGCTGTAAAGACGTGACGTGCCCTCGCATTGCGCAAAGGCTTGATGCTAACATTGCCACAGGAACTTACTGGTTCTACAGCTGAATATATATGAAAGAAATATTTGAGTGTGATTATAGGATAACGTGATGACAGAATGAGAAGTGCTAACATTCCCTCTTCCATGCATGTGTTAGGACGTCTTCAGCGATCTCAAAAACTGAATTGAGCTAGGGCATGCCCCCCTATTTCTTATATTATTTACATTACAAAGTCGTTAACTTTACAAACATCCGTCCACATACAAAGGTTGTTTGTGGTGAATGCATGTGGTGACTCAAATCTAAACGTTTTACATTAGAGTGAGTTAGTTGGGTTTTACCCCGCTTTTAGCAACATTCCCGCAACACCAGTAAGAGACTTCACACATTGTACCCATGGGAGTGTTTCATTAGAGATAAAAATCAATATGTAGTGTATGGAAATATATACATATGTTACACGCATTCCTTTGTGCATTTGACACGTTCCCCGTGCCTCGATCGCCATTTAGATATCGTACTAGCCAGGTCGTTAAAAACAGAAATATGTAAATGATAATTTCAGGCGTACTGCTATTGTGTTGTCGTTCCACCAATTACCTTATTGCTGACAAGAACAATGTAATTATGAGTACCCCTAATCTGGTGATGGTTTTAATTAACGTAGTCTGACATCAAGTCAAGATGTCATCTCACGACATGTAGTGGACCCATTAACCGACGGCAGATAGTGTTATTACCGTGGCTTGTATAGTCAGGCAAAATGACACGACAATTTCCTTTTTTTGTTCTCTGACAATTGAGGGTATTTTGGTTGGAGGGCTTCAATCATGCTAATCTAAAATGTTCCCTGATACAAAGTCGGACTCGGTATCCACAATGCTGGACTTGGTTTTTTATAATTGATGTGAGGAAACTTGACATTACGAACGTGCTCGTTCCGGAGAATTAATACACTTACATTTCCCATTGAAGCACTGAAGACCTTTTCACACAGTTACGTTCAAATATCCACTGCAGCGTAGCGCAATTCTATTTTAATAGTATACCTTGGGCCCTGGACTTCTCCTTTGATATCTCTGTCTGTCTTCATTCCAATCAACACAGAATGCGAATAATCTTATTCTACTTGTTCGCTTTGTTTGTTTGTTTAACGCCGCACTCAGCAACATCCCAACCATATGGCGACAGTCTGTTAATAATCGAGTCTGGACCAGACAATCCAGTGATCAACATCATGAGCGTCGATGAGTTGGGATACGATGACATGTGTCAACCACGTCAGCGGGCCTGACCACTCGATCCCGTAAATCGCCTCTTATGCCAAGCATGGGTTCATAAAGACCAATTCTAACCTAGATCTTCACGGGTCTACTTGCTTATTTAAATCAGCAAAGACTAAGTTATGTAGCGAATGGGTCCAATGTAACTGTCATAATAGCTTGGATATTTAGTACAAACTTTCTCGAAGATGATTTCATTATCATGATATTTCACAAGAAACTGAATGGTAAAGGGAACAATAGAATTGTCAATCAAGTTCAATCTGAGCCAAACCTTAGAAGCGTTAAATCGCCGAAAGACTAAGCAGTGCCAAAACAGAAATATGATACCCGTTTCAAATACACCAACATCAACTCGTCATTACTTCAGTCATCTTCCGTCATCATCAAGCATGTTTGTGTATGTTCTTTGACATGGCAGTGTGTTGTCTTTGGCCACCTAAGTAAAGTGTGTTTTGGTTTCAGGATACCACACGTCCAGTGCCTGTCCACAACCGAATCAGTTGGTCAAGGACGTACAGAAATGCCTCGGGAGTATGATGACGTTCGTCAACGCAGACAAGGACGATAGGTGGTCAAAATGCCCGTAGGTATTTCCGTTTGTAAAGTTATAGCGTTAGGTGGGGGGTAGATAGAGTAGGATTGGCGTGTCTTTGAATCACATACAAAATGAGAATTTATGAATGTCAGCTTCTTTATTATGAGGAACACACTGTTTCTGTGTATATTCTTACTGATGAAGGAGTATGTTTTTACTCGGAAACACCGTTTTCTTCATGATAAAAAAGTGGATATCCCTACATTCTGACCTGTTATTGCAGGATTGTTGAGAGTCTCGTTGGAAGGGTGTGGCTTGCCTTGGAACAGATTGTCTGCAACCTGTGTAGTGTGAGCATGTTGTAGGGTGTGTTGTGCCACAGGTGGTGAGGGTGTTGTAGGGTGTGTTGTGTGTGTCACAGGTGGTGTGAGAGTTGTGGGGTGTGTTGTGTCACAGGTAATGTGGGTGTTGTAGGGTGTGTTGTGTCACAGGTAATGTGGGTGTTGTAGGGTGTGTTGTGTCACAGGTGTTGTGGGTGTTGTAGGGTGTGTTGTGTCACAGGTGTTGTGGGTGTTGTAGGGTGTGTTGTGTCACAGGTGGTGTGGGTGTTGTAGGGTGTGTTGTGTCACAGGTGATGTGGGTGTTGTGGGGTGTGTTGTGTCACAGGTGGTAATGTGGTTGTTGTAGGGGTGATGTGTGTTGTGTCACAGGTGATGTGGGTGTTGTGTTGGTCACAGGTGTGTGGGTGTTGTGGGTGTGTGTTGTGTCACAGGTGGTGTGGGTGTTGTAGGGTGTGTTGTGTCACAGGTAATGTGGGTGTTGTGTGTGGGTGTTGTGGGGTGTGTTGTGTCACAGGTGGTGTGGGTGTTGTAGGGTGTGTTGTGTCACAGGTGGTGTGGGTGTTTGTTGTGGGGTGTGTTGTTGTCACAGGTGGTGTGGGTGTTGTAGGGTGTGTTGTGTCACAGGTGGTGTGGGTGTTGTGGGGTGTGTTGTGTCACAGGGTGTTGTGGGGTGTGTTGTGTCACAGGTAATGTGGGTGTTGTAGGGTGTGTTGTGTCACAGAGTGTGTGGGTGTTGTAGGGTGTGTTGTGTCACAGGTGTGTGTTGTGTGTGTTGTGTCACACAGGTGGTGTGGGTGTTGTAGGGTGTGTTGTGTCACAGGTGTTGTGGGTGTTGGTGATGTGGGTGTTGTGGGTTGTGTTGGTGTGGGTGTTGTAGGGTGTGGGTGTTGTGTGTGGGTGGGTGTGGTCAGGTGTGTGGTGTAGGGTGTGTGGTGTGTTGTGTCACAGGTAATGTGGGTGTTGTAGGGTGTGTTGTTGTGTCACAGGTAGGGTGTGGGTGTTGTGGGGTTTGTTGTGTCACGGGTAGAGTGGGTGTTGTGGGGTGTGTTGTGTCACAGGTGGTGTAGGCGATGTTGGTTTGTCTTTTTTCTGTTGTGCCGCATGTGGTGTATCTCTTGGCGTGTGTTGTGCCACAGGTTGTGTTGGTATTGCCACACTCCCCAATATTCCAGCTATATGGCGGCAGTCTGTAAATATTATGGTGTCTGGGTAGTGTCTGGCATCCAATGTTCAACAGCATGAGCATCGATCTACGCAAAGGGCATACGATGACATGTTTCATCGAGCCTGACCTCCCGATCGCGACAAGCACGGGTTGCTGAAGACTAATTCTAAGGCGGATCTACACGGTCGTGAGACAGAAAGGACGTGTTTTTGCAGGATATATTGCGATCGTAGAGCGGTGTGTTATAAGGTGGATTGTGATGAAGATTGTTACATGGATGCCGCCGTCTGTACTGTGACTGTATGTTTGGTTATCGGATCTAATGAGAAGGTGTGAGAGTGTATGATGCGCATTAGCTAACATTTTCCATCGACAACATGGCTGCTGCACTGTACGGTTAAGATGTGAGAAATCTGTCTTGTTTTGTCTCCTCCCCAACAACAGGGCGTAATTTACGGAATTGCCCAATCCGCGAATTACGCATGATATTTGCGTAATCCGCGAGAATGGGCGAAGCTCTGTCCAAACCCTCTCATTACGCAATAAGTAGTGCTCATTCCCGTGGATTGAGCAATTAACTAATCTGCGTAATCCCATAGATTGAGCAAGCTGAGTTTGTATACATGTATTAAAGGAGAATACTAACGAATCCAAAACTTTTCATAGGGTAAAGGCATTCTAAAAGTCACCTTCCCTGATTAAAATTGAACAAAAAGTTTGGGTTCTAGGGGGTGACATCTGATTATCAAAACCTTTTGGGCTCATTCCAAGGGATTACGCAGTGAGGCGTGCCCAATCCGCAGATTAAGCAAGCAAGGTCGCGGTTGACGGGAATGGGGCAATACCTTTGCGTAGTTCGCGGTTTGGGCAATTGCGTATATTACGCACGAGACATACATCCTGCACCGAGGATACACTCATTGTATAGGTGTGGTTACTGATGCTGCATGTTTATTATTCTATCCATCCCTAGTTGAGTGTAATCTTAATGTGGCATCTCAAGGTGCTCGGATGTCTTAAAAACATATGTATTTTTTGTGCTTATATGAACATTCGAATTTACATCACCACCATTTTCTGCGCTGTATTCCACCGTGGGCGGCGACAAATGTCGACTGCAGCTGTTGGTATCAGATGACTCAAACAAAACCCCTTTTATACAATTAGAGCTAGCACGCGAATATTCCATTACGGTTGTGAAAAACTACAGACTTGTTTCATAATTCCAGATCAGGAAATTTATTCATTAATTGCATTCATAGCCATATTTGGTTCCTAATGCGTTATAGACTTGAAGTGTGGCCTCGTCCTAGCTGGCACGAGTGTATTCTTCCCCATGAATGTTTGGCTCATATTCTCATTTTCACGTACAGAAGGGATATTTAGAAAGAAAACACCATTAGTAATTAAATTCACATATTATTTTTCCTGAAATCGGGAAAGCGTGGCAAATCGGAGAAAATCTTCACATTACCAGTTTTATTGCTTTTTCTTTTTCCCTTTGCTGATGTGCTAAAGTGTTCCCATTCGTTACACTGACTTTACTCATGCAGGCCAAAACGTATTTTCACATTATGCAGCAATAACACTCCTCAAGCATCATCTGGCGCCAGAAACAATGTTTTGATTTTCTACTGAACGCATTGCCTGATGATGGTTTCCTGAGGCCTGATGATGGTTTCCTGATACCTGATGAAGGTTTGCTGATGCCTGACGAAGGTTTCCAATGTTAAATATCTGAAGAAGGATAGGCAATATTCTGCATCAGTCAAAGTTGATAAACAAGTTACTGACTGAACGTCACAATATGTTGATGCAGGTTCCATTAAACTAGTGTGAGATGAGCTTAATGAAGAAAACTTCCGAAACTGTGAAAGCTGTGAAAATAACCTTGTATTGACCACCAGCCATTTTCATCAGTTGCTTTAAATTTTTATTTTTATTTATTACTAAACGGAGGGTTATGTTTGCTTTGTCATATTCAGCATACTCGCCTGGGCATGACGACGGTCTAAAAATAATGGAACAGACAATCCAATGATTAACATCATTACGATTAACAACGGTTGACGCAATTTGGACACTATGATTTGATACGAACCAATCGGATAACCAACGGTGACCCCTTAGATCGCCTCTAGTGACAAGGATAGGTTACAGGGAACCTATATTTTACCCGATTCCCCCACTCAGTGTTTACGACAGGTAGCCAGTGGTATAAGGTAGATCTGTAGTTGCCATATATGGTCCGGATCGAGTGGTCAGGCTCGCTGATTTGGTTGACACATGTCATCGTATCCCTGTTGTGTAGATCAATGTTCATGCTGTTGATACCTGGATTGTCTGGTCCAGATCCTATTCTTTACAGACAGCCGCCATATAGCTGGAATATTGCTGAGTGCGGCGTAAAGCTAAACTCACTCACTCACTCCCATATATGGTTGTGGTCATTTTCTAGAAAATACGGCGCAACCCATGGTCCAAAATGGTCTCTCAGCACAAGAGATTGGCAGCTTCCGTAGGCCCACGGGAATTATATATGGCTTTTACAAGCTAACGGGTTTCATAGGCTCACGGGTTTCACGGGTGTTGCTGGCTTGAAGGTTTGACAGCCTCATAGATTTTACAGGGTTTCACCAAACTTGGATACCATTCCTCATTTTTCTTACTACACTTGCCTTTCAGTGAATACCTTAGCCATGACATCCACCTTACTTCACTGAAAGCTTCGATCATACTTTGTTATTCACGGTGTCACTCAGTTACATCTCCCGGTAGGATCAACAAGACCTCTTTACATAATACACCATCAGATCTCTTTACATAATACACCATCAGATAACAATGTGAGAGTCGACCCAGTGTAGTTTCCCGACAAAGGCGTCAGTTTCTCAGTGATCAATGTTCAATCCTTCCCTTATGTCTCTGCTACACCCCGGAGGAAACGTAAAGCATCCAACCTTCAAAACACTGGAACAGGTTTCCGCAGTTAACATTTAAAAAGACACACGCAATTATTGACAAAACACCAGAAACCCCCGGTATCCATTATCTTTAGCGTGTTTGGATAAATATCCGTTTTCATTAAACCGGCGTTTGTAGCCTTTGTCCTATTGACGTTTGACCGTGTGATCTGCTCCGACGTGGGTATATTGTAGGGACGCACTTCATGATCAATAACGGGACGGTGCCACCATCTCAGCAAATGAAAGAGGAAGAATGTCATGTTTTTAAACGAAGTCGATAGCTTGTGATGAAGTTTTAAGGACGCCTTCAAGCAGATTGACAGCTTCAACAGATCTTTCAGCAGCAGGTGGTCCTTGCCGTGTTAAACTATTGAGGAGGCGCTGACATTGTTATTGTGGCATGTCCACTTATCAGGAATAATGCAATCTGGCATTAAGACATCAGATCAACTAATAGCAATGTTATAATTAAATCTGCAAATTTCATTCAAATGCCGCATCATCTCTGGGGAAAGGAATGAAGGTTTCATGATATTTGATGATATTGAAATGCACTATTATCGAAATGAAATTAAGTCCTCAAAACCACTGGATGCATTCATACTTCGGTTAACCTACAATGATGATATAACGTATTATGGTTGGCATTTATAAAAGTTAGTACCCTTTAGACTGACATCTATTCTCTGAAATGAACATATTTTACAGGAAAAAACGTGTTTCTCTAGGAGCCCTTCGTTTTGTGGTAATCTAGACTTGCCACATATTTTCGACTTGCATGGCTTGCACTGGGTATATTGGTCTGTATGACAGTTACCCTTTGTGTTTGATGAAAACAAAGTTCGGTACACTGTGTGTTCAAACCCTTTTCTCGACACGGTTTACAGTGATTGGTGATTGGTGCGAATCTCATTCTGTGGATGCCCCACGTCCCATCACGCACGCGCACGCACGCACACGCACACACACACACACACACACACACACACACACACACATTAGGGCACAAACAACATTACACGCACGCGGTCATAGCTGCTACTACAAGAGTGCTCTCCCTACTCACGCCAAAACTTTGCCTTTGTGTCAGGTACAAATCCGTTGTTTACAACAATTCACATCAAAGCATGTACTTTGGTTTAGAACAAAGCCAAAGGTGGAGCAGCTAAAGCAAAGAAAATCCCTTGTCTACGTTAAGACAGTGATTGTTCTCGTAAACACAAAACACATCACCTATCACGTATTAAACACTGTTAGTCGGAGCATTTAATGATCTCAGCTTAAAGCTGGTGACACAGACACTATACCCTAGGTCAGTAGAGTATAGTTCAATAGTCTTCCAGACTAATATCCTCTGACTTGGTAAGACTACCTCTTGGGAAGGGAAGCTAGTCTAGCCCTTTCATGACAGAATGTTGTGCTTGGTTCTCCAGAAATCTGAAGGATGGCATCGACTGTGTGGACGACATCCTGGACGCCTGCAAGGATAACCCCGCTCTCCGGGGACAGTACGACATGCTGAAAGACAGGATGGCACAGAGTCGGAAGGACTTCGAATTATACTGTAAGTATACTCAGTGTAAGATGTTCGTTTCAGCTACAATCCTACATTTGATAATAATGGTTCGTTAGATTTAACCTGTACAAGTTTTGGGAACCACGCATGCGCAGTGTATATGTATCCATGCGGTTATGCCGCCGAAAGTGGATTTCACCTGACGAAGGGGCAAGGAATAGACCAGAAACGTTGTGATATACAATAAAGAAGAAGTTGTCATCCATAATATTTGCGTTTTAGTGGAATACAGTTGAGAGGAGCCCACCATCGTGTCTTGTACATGCCCACGCAATACAAAACACTCAGGGTTTGAGTTTGTGACAAATAACGAAAGTACGTTTACTGACTGCCTGTAATGAGGAATTATTGTCTCTTCCTCGATAATGTGTAGAGAATTCAAAACGAATGAGTATTAGCTTATGTTATCACTTTCCAGCCTCCACGAAACGAGCGATTGTAAAACTGAAACGAGCGATTGTAAAACTGTAACCGTTTCCAAAGGAAATGAAATCCGTTTTAGAACAAAACCTCTTTGTTTTCTGACGCACACTGACAAAAGTATATCTTATTCAATGCCATTTGAGATATAATACCCAGGATGTGGACATTGTAATGTGGCATCAAATTACAAAATGGTTTTCATAGGAAAGTCTACACCAAGCTGAAATAGAAACGAATTAGTTCCTCGTCAAATCGTCAAAAACAGATATGATCACATCCATACTAGGAGCTTAATATTGTTTAATGCAATGCGTTTAAAGTAATAATTGTTTGAAATGTAGTGGCAGAATATCTAATATTTTTTCGACAGTCTGAAGTATAATTAGTTTATTCATCAAAAGAATATCAAGTGGTCGATCTCTTAGATCGTGTTCGTAATTTCATCTTTCTTTTGGGGGTCATTACAAAATCTTATAAGTCTTCCAGTTAAGTTGGATTCACAGTATACAGATCTTACAACAAAGTAAAAGATAATTGCGATTGAAGATGAGGGCTGATGCGTGAATAGGGATGAGTTTTGACATCAGCATCAATTCAATGAATAGACATGTGTCTGCAATGCTCTATTTAGTTGCAAATCAATCTTACTTTAGTGTAAAAGAGGAAAACTGTTTCAATCTATAGAGTGCTCGAAGGTTACTACGACCCATGGTCAAGCTGCATCTCCATCAAATTAGCCTGAAGAGAACCCACTCCCATGGGAACACCATTTGTCAATCTGACACAGAATCAAGGGCAGCAATAGCCGCCGCTGTAGTTCAGCTGACCAGTCCATCTATCTGAGCTGCATGTTATTTCATTCTCCACACCATTAACTTGATTATAATTTATAAGTAGTCAAGTTGGCCATTTTATACACTTGGAGAAAGCAGAACTACTGTGTGACTTATATATTTACCCAATTCCCGTGTTCGAATATTTCTATATAAACAGTCACACCTTTCCTGGTGATGTTACAAGGATGGCACAATGGGAAGATGTATTTGATTACACACACTATCGTACATATTTATATACATTTTCAAACTAAAAAACATATATATGTTTTGATCATTATTCACCATATCGGGATGTGTTGAAATGTCCTACCCGTGAAGTCATCAGTGATATATAAAGCCACACCTTTCTAAATGATTTGTTTGTTAGTGTGTTGTGTAACGCCGCACCCAGCAGTATTCCAGCTATATGGCGGCAGTAAAATAATCGAGTCTGGACCAGACAATCCAGTGAACATCTGTATTGATTTGTTTCAGGTGGCAGCGTTGGAATCGCCTCAAGTATGTTCCTGATAGTTTTCGCTTGTTTATCGTCACTGTGGTTTAGCAACACCCACATGTGAACAGTGCCTGACAAAACAGCATCTCTTGAATGCCTTAACCACGAAACCTTCAGGGATAATACAGTCCAATCACCTACCATGTTCGCACCGGAAGATTTGTCTTCCACTTCGCCTGAATGCTTTGGCTTGTATGGCAATGTCCCGGACTGAGATATGTCTTAACTCACTCCGGGGCAATGCTCAAATGATATCTGATTGACATCTTTGCTTAACTTTATCACGCATTTCATTGCACCATCTTTCGTCTTACTTGTTCTGACCCTTAGATTTAGACAATGGATCCTGTTTTCTTTCTCTTCAGTTAGAGTTTTGTCAGGAGGTTCAATGGTTTAGGTTTTGTTACTGTGCAGCATTATACCGTTAGGTTCATATCCCGCACTCTTATTGGTTAATCAACACCTGGCCTGTGTTCGGGTGTTTCACCAAAATTGGAAACGTGTTCTTTATGCGTAACTCTGTGTTTCGCTGTCTCATTCATCTGACACGTCACAGCTGAACATGGTCCATGACGACTACTTCTAACACGTACATCGGAGTGTTGGGACGCCCGACGCAAACCACATTGATGTTGGATTTCAAACCATAGAATTAACTCCATACTTGTACATAAGTACATACCCGTGTGTTGAATAAGATAGCGCTTTATGTCAAAAGTAAGGACAGTATTTATGTGCATGTCTTTTTATATTGGTAAGTGTTACGATTGCAGAGACTGGTTAAAAAGCAACAGGAATATTAGATGAGTTCAACTTAGTCGAATGCCAATCCAAAAAGATAACGGGTCAAGAGCAAGGGTGTCTTGCTTGATGTAAGACCAACGTTGTAGGCTTCTGTACAACAAGCTCCATTTACCCATCGCCACGAACATGCGTGTCACAAAATGAATAATGAAAGTATTGTCAGAGCACAGTATTCTTCGTAAGGACATTATTGTGATCAAATACTCAAGCGACTATGCACATATGTGTTGTCATGATAAAGAACTGATGTACGCCTCTTAATCATGTGACGAAACCTTGATGACGTGACTCGCTAGGCTGACTAGATATATGTGCTCGGGTTGATATAAGGATAGATGGTTCCTATGTCTGTCTGTGTCAGTTCCTTATACAGCTTCAAACATGTACAGGAAGCATCGCTTTATTAGAAGTGTTATAACAGGAACCACGGACATTTAAATATTGGGTATGATTAGGACTGGCATTGGATATGGATGGTTCCATGCATGTCAAAATGGTCGCCAAAAGTTATTATAACAATAACTAGAGGGTTGTGGGTGGGGTGCATAAAAAAATAATTTTGATTTTTTTTCAGGGACTGGTCAATTTTTACGAAGGTGGGTGGCTGGAGCATCATGGCATTTTGTTACATTATGTTTTTCTTTTGGGAGGGGTCACATGGGATTTTTTAACATCAATTGGAGGGAAAAAACAAAATAATATAAAATCCCCCACCAGTAAAAACTTACCAGTCCTTCTGTTCTGTAAGCAATGAGATTTCATTGCAAGACTAACGTTTTGGTCAAACCTATCTCTATGTTATGGTTTGACTATGATGTGAATTATGTTACCTTTTATACAATCGTGTACCATAGCCCATAGATGTTACATCGTCGTTGCAACTGGCATGTGATAATCGTCTTCCAAGTGTTCAATGGGTTTCTTTATACAATGTAAGTGTATATGTGTGTTCCAATAAAGACCTTTAATATTCGTAATTTAGCTTTTATCTTTGCAAGTTGATGTTTAAGAGTTGCTGCTTAAGATGAGCGAACCTGAACTTGTGTCTGACCTAACGACATGACCTTATTCTTGTGCACCCGCTTTCAACCCACTGTCCACTGTAGTATGACCACTGTCTGTTGGGTAGATACGCTATATATTTGCGATTACATTTCAAAAGGTGGTCAGAAAATGAATGAAATTGTCACTAATGTTAAATGATTGTCACAATCTGTGGATTAAGGTTTTTATATCTTGCCAAAACAGACATTTCCCAGAATTACCTTCGACCCATATTGTCACGGGCATATATGTATTACATATACATATACGTACATATACATGTATACATTATGTTAAATAACCTGGACCAAGCTGCATACATAATGTGACAACTCCATTGCCATTTTCTCATAGGGATGTCAACGAAGTTACAATTGGGAGGTCTGGTGGTAGTTGGGGGCCTTTTGAAGATCTATTCCCTGTGGAAAATCAGAAACCTGGCTTACAAGATACATGTCCTGTGTGTGTACCCCCAGAGGGCGCCATGTACTGCAAAGAGCCACGCAATACCGACATAAAACTTATTTGAATTAAAAGTTGCTTCCATAGGACTTTTGTACCTTAAAAACAGCTTCTATTTTGAATTATTGCTTTTTCTGCAAAATCCGCGTCTGGGTAGAATTGCACCTCATTATTTCAAAAGTGTGCCATTGGCTGAGGATGTCGCGGTAACCAGACACATCTCTCCACGCCCTGCGTGTCTTCAGAGAGACATTCTAAGTTTAACCTGCTTCGTATTACACAATCGTTTCATTCTAAGTATTGAAAAGCATTAACATCATGTGGGAGTGGATTCGAAACATCCTTTCAGCGCTAAGGACAGTGGTTCAAGAATCAGGACCACCAGGGTCAAGCTGGTTCTCTATCCAATTACCCTAAAGCGTACTCCCAATGGGATGATCCTTCCTACAACCTGACCTTGACCTAAAGATCCAAATTGAGTGACTATTTCCCTCAGTAGACTCATCTATCTGCCCAAACTTAATTGGCTCCGTTTTGTGAGCCGTACATCATTTCCCATGCTATGAATGGGCCCGGAAAATGCTTTGAACTATTTCAGTGCATCTTGATAGCTAGTTTGGGCGTTAATATTCTCAGCAAGACGAGGCACAACGTCCTCTGCCATTCCTCGTTCACGTGCTGGCATCCCTGTCGCAGATTCAGCTGTGCCACATCTTTAAGACAAATCGAACCTAAGAGTTGACTCACGGAACATCGATATAATTATCCCCCAGAACAAAACTGCACATGACTCGGGAGTTTTTTTCCAATACGTACGTGGATGTTACTGATTATTCTAGCAAAGATCGTCGTGACACATCAGGTTTCTTCTTTCAAGGCAGGACTTTTTCGGCCGTTAATCACGTTAATGATCAAGTAATGTGATCGCATTTGTATCTTCTTGGATAGCCACGTTCTTATTTCATCAATACTCAATGTCCCTTTTCTTGTGGATTGCCCAAAGTAGGACAATGCCAGGTAAAGCCATGAGCACGGAAATCTAAACATGAAACATATTGGGAGAAATAAGATTTCCTGTACGTGTCACCTTATTCAAAACACACATACACAGATCAGACAGGCTACGTTAAGATATACATCTAGTCAATTACCACAGCACTGAAGAGATGTTGATTTCTAACTGAAGCCATATTTATGTTGCAGGCGGAAGGACCTCCAGTATGTTCCTGATTGGTTTCGCTTGCTTACCGTCACTGTGGTTAAGAAACATCCACATGTGAACAGTGCCGACAAAACAGCTTCCTTTCCCTGTTGAATGCCTTAACTATCAAACCTTCAGGGATAAGACAGTCCAATAAGTACCATCTTATCTTGGAAGGTCTACCTTCCGTTCCACGTGAATACTTTTGTTAACCTTTACATCATCCTATTTCATGCCAGTTTTTTCATTCACGTATTCTGCCAAACTGGTTAGACAAAGACCATGTATAGGTGTTCATGTATATGTAGAGCTTCAATATGTAGGGCAGTGACCTTCGTGTACATCTATACATGGACAGCAAATGTATATACAAATTAATATACACACGCATACCAACATTCATAACCTATTTCAGGTCTGGGTATTAAAATGGCACTGTATTTGGCTGAGCTATAATGGTTGATTGTGTTGGTATCGCTGACTTTGTGAAATAAATGAAGCTATTGACATACCTCCGCATCATTCAAAGACATGTAAGAAGAAGCATCATAATTGAAGAAGGTGTGAAATAATGATTGGCTAAGATTAACATTACGGACGCCATGATCTGAGCGGAACTCAATGAGTGTGTTGAAGAATAAAGAATAAGTTACATCTGGACCAACAACTGAGGTAGTTCTATAAGTATACACGTGGACATTATATCGTATCAAATGCTGACTATGCACAAATGTCTTGTTAAGAGAGGATGTTCGCTCTTGTCGAACTGTAACGTTTCTAGATATATAGATACTAATGTGTGATGTGGTAAATTGTGAGTGGATGGTCATAGTGTATACTGTAGTCAGTATGTTTGCAGCTTTAAATTTGTACAGGAAGGGTAGCTTGCTGAAACTGAAGAAACTTGAGAACATATGGTTGAAAGTATTTTTCATTGCAATGTTGATATGTGAACATCTCGATGTTATTGTCTGACTATGATGTATATTCCCGACCTTTTATACAACCATGTATCATTTTTGTTAGGTCGATAATTGTCTTCCAGTTGTTAAATGTGATTCTGTAAATGTAAACAATGTTAGTACATATGTCTGTTCCAATAAAAATCATTAATATTCGTAAACCATCTCAATGTTTGCAAGTTGTCATGATATGGAGACTAGCCTTTTGATTCACGACGAAACTGACAATTTATAAACGACATTTGTTTACATGGAACTGATCTGATTATTTAAACTCGAGTGCTGTAACTTGGTATGAAATACACGACGTTCACATGGGATTCAGGCTGTAGTGTCGTAGATGGAAGTCGGCATTGTATACATGACGTTCACGTGGGATTCAAGCTGCAGTGTCGTAGATGGAAGTCGGCCTTCTATACATGGCGCTCACGTGGGATTCAGGCTGTAGTGTCGTAGATGGAAGTTGGCATTGTATGCATGACGTTCACGTGAAATTCAGGCTGTAGTGTCGTTGATAGAAGTTGGCATTGTATGCATGACGTTCACATCAGATTTAGGCTGCAGTGTCGTAGATAGAAGTCGGCTTTGAATCCATAACGTTTAGGTGGGGATTCAAACACTCGTCCTGAAGATAGAAGTAGATAATATATGTACAGCTTCACTGTCAAGGTACCCGTAAAGATCCGGATTGGAATTGATCTTCAGTAACCCATGCTTGTCGTAAGAGGCGACCAACGGTGGCCCAGCATTTCGGTAGCCGAAAACGAGGACGATAAAGTTATTATATATACTTTTCTCGGGACAGCAGCTTTATAGCAGTACAAGTGAGTGAGTTTGGTTTAACGCCGATGAAAGCAATATGTCAGCAGTATCAAGGCGGGGACACCTGAAACGGGCTTCACGGAATATATTTTGGTCGGTGTTCAGTGTGACGAGCGTACGCTTAAACCGCTACGTTTAACAAATGCCCTGTCTTAAACAGAAGTCGGTATTGTATACATGACGTTCGTGCGTGATTCATACTATAGAGTCGTAGACAGAACTCGGTATTGTATACATGAGGTTCGTGCGTGATTCATGCTACAGAGTCGTAGACAGAAGTCAGTATTGTATACATGACGTTCGTGAGTGATTCGTGCTATAGAGACACAGACGAAGTCTGTATTGTATACATGACGTTCATGAGTGATTCATGCTATAGAGACACAGACAGAAGTCTGTATTGTATACATGAGGTTCGTGAGTGATTCGTGCTATAGAGACACAGACGAAGTCTGTATTGTATACATGACGTTCGTGAGTGATTCATGCTATAGAGACACAGACGAAGTCTGTATTGTATACATGACGTTCGTGAGTGATTCATGCTGTAGAGACACAGACGAAGTCTGTATTGTATACATGACGTTCGTGAGTGATTCGTGCTATAGAGACACAGACGAAGTCTGTATTGTATACATGACGTTCGTGGGTGATTCATGCTGTAGAGACACAGACAGAAGTCTGTATTGTATACATGACGTTCGTGCGTGATTCATACTACAGAGTCGTAGACAGAACTCGGTATTGTATACATGACGTTCTTGAGTGATTCGTGCTACAGAGACACAGACAGAACTCGGTATTGTATACATGACGTTCGTGAGTGATTCGTGCTACAGAGACACAGAGAGAACTCGGTATTGTATACATGACGTTCGTGAGTGATTCGTGCTACAGAGACACAGAGAGAACTCGGTATTGTATACATGACGTTCGTGAGTGATTCGTGCTACAGAGACACAGACAGAACTCGGTATTGTATACATGACGTTCGTGAGTGATTCATGCTACAGAGACACAGATAGAAGTCGGTATTGTATATATGACGTTGGTGAGTGATTCGTGCTACAGAGACACAGACAGAACTCGGTATTGTATACATGACGTTCGTGAGAGATTCGTGCTACAGAGACACAGACAGAACTCGGTATTGTATACATGACGTTCATGAGTGATTTTGTGCTATAGAGACACAGACAGAACTCGGTATTGTATACATGACGTTCGTGAGTGATTCATGCTACAGAGACACAGAGAGAACTCGGTATTGTATACATGACGTTCGTGAGTGATTCGTGCTACAGAGACATAGACAGAACTCGGTATTGTATACATGACGTTCGGGAGTGATTCATGCTACAGAGACACAGACAGAACTCGGTATTGTATACATGACGTTCGTGAGTGATTCGTGCTACAGAGACACAGACAGAAGTCGGTATTGTATACATGACGTTCGTGAGTGATTCGTGCTACAGAGTCGTAGACAGAACTCGGTATTGTAAGCATGACGTTCGTGAGTGATTCATGCTACAGAGTCGTAGACACATTCGTATTCTACACCACCCTTTATAGAGGTTGTTTATGTCACGAAAATGTCTAAATGTGCCTGAAACATTGGTATTAAGAGCATGTCGTTCTCTAAACGATGACATTTAAAACTCTTTAGAATCTTCTTCATCAAACGCATTTAGTTTTCATCAATCGCTTGAACTGGTGGCAAAGAGAAACGAAATCGACAAACAAATTACATCTAGAGTTTCCGGAGAAAAGGCATACATGGATGGCATTTGGCAGAAACAATAACCCTTTTTAAACTTATCTCGTATATCACGTACGTAGGAAACTTGCAATTCCATACGCCGCCTCAAGGAATCGGAGACTGTTCCAGAATGTAAAACAAACATAACAGCTCGTAATTGTGTAAGGAACACACACGGAGTATAGTTATATAATACACAGGAAACTACGACACCAACGGTGAGTTGCTGTGTCCGTTACGTTTTGAAAACGTTATAGATGCAGGAGCAGTAGATGCAAGTTTCCCAGTGTACTGTTTCCTTGGTTACTTTGCATATATGACCTGACCTTATGAGTATGTTTGAAACAAGACAGCTTGAAACATTTCGGAAGATATAACACGGCGTCTGAAACTGATTTTAACAGAAAGCTGAAAGTGACATGAAGTCATCTCGGAACTACAAGATGTGTATGTTCCTGGTCGACCTGCAGGTCTACGTAGTTGTTTAGGTTCTCGGTGACCTGCTGTCCCTTATGCAAGTTATCAAGCCCTGTCCCAGACCAGTAAAGGTTTGATTTCACTCTTGCTGTCTTATCGTTGACTTGGAACTTTTTCTTGCCGATCTCGAGTGAGTCAATACAGTTAGAGGCAAGAAGCAGTAACATGTCGTCTATGGTCTCACATTCGCTTTCAATCTGGTAATCTGGTTTGGCGCATGTGAACCTCAGGCTGTTTGAGCACCGCCCTACAGATGCGACACTGTGTCTACGTTTGGACGGTAATTGGTTTAGCCTTATTCCTCCTCAGGTGTTCGGTCTGTCCTGTCTTGACCGGTACTTGATTTACATCAAGGGTAAAGGTCAAGGTCAACGTACAGTTGAGCCATATTCTCTCTCGGAGTCGTAGACTAGCAGCTAGTCTCTTAAATATTTTTATATTAAAATAAAATACAAAAAATCGAGCCCAGGGACTTTCTTCATTTTCATAAACTGTGGTAATCTAGACGTGTCACACATTCTAGACTTGCATGGGCTACATTGGGTATATTTGTTTCAGGGTCTGTATGACAGACTATCGGAGCCGCTGTATCCAGCTATTCATTACAATAAAGTGCTTGACGTAGACGCCGAAGTATGTGTTTATGAATCACTGTGAAATAATGGCGGCACCAGGGGTTCGCAAAACGAGACAGTATCCTGCACCGTCAGGAACAACCGCCAGAATCATCTAAAACACCCATGAACACGTGCCATTACGTCTGACACAACATGGCAGTGTACAGTACGTTGAAAAGTCTAAAAACAACGGGTGACATTGCATTAAAAGTATTTAATGAATGTGAATGTGTTTCTAAAGAACGGGTATACTTTATTACGGCGGTACAAGAAACGGACACATTTTACTGAAAACGTTAAAAAAACGTGCGCATTCTATTAGTAAGACAATGACAAAAATTCTGTGTTCTCTATCCAAAATATTCAAAGGAACCACTCCCATAAAAGTAGAAGTAGGACCCAAAGTGATATATTGAAAGTATTGCAAGGAACGGGCACATTCTATTGAAAGTATCATAAGAGGCCACCCATATTCTACTGAACGCATCCATATTCTACTGAACGCATTACAAGGAACGGGCACGTTCTAATATATTGCAAATATAAGACCCGTGAAGATCCGGGATAGAATTGGTCTTCATCAACCCATGCTTGTCGTAAGAGGCGACTAACGGAATCGGGTGGTCAGGCTCGCTGACCTGGTTGACACATGTCATCGCATTAAAATTGCGTAGATCGATGTTAAAGCTGCTGATCCTTGGATTGCCATGTCCAGATTCGATTATTTACGGACGGCCGCCATATAGCTGGAATATTGCTGACTGCGTCGTGAAACAACAAAACAACCACCAAACAAAACAAGCAAATAATAAATGTCAGCGCCAAAGAATACCCAGTCTGGACTATCCTCAGTAGCAGAAGCCGGTGGATTCTATTGAAATTAGTAAATGGAACCCTTCTCTTTGAAGAAGAGAAAGTGTTATATTTAACGTATTACAAGGAAACACATTCTGTAAAGTATTGCTGATACAAAACGTCAATGAATATCCTCAGAAGCTGATTTCATTTCGTGCAAAGTTCAGTACAGCTGCGAAAAGTATATGATTGGACAAGTGAAAAATAGTGATGACACCAGGTGTCCGCGAAAAGCATGAGCATGCTTCCCCTACCAGTAGCACCCGCCACTCTCATAATGAAGAAACGGAAATTCTATACTTTGCTTTGCAAATGTTGTAGCTATTAGCCATACTTAATCATAATAGTAAAATATGCAAGATTACTTTATTTTGCAAAATCTATTTAACTGTAAACTAGAACAGTGAAACCGGGGCGTTACCCTGATAATGATCACTATACATAACCGGGTATTTCATAGGTATCTAAATTTACATATCAGTATTAGGTTATAAATTTTACTTATGAAAATATAATTTTTGTTTACTCGTTTTTTTTTAATTTGAGCATTGTGACGATTGTGGCGGTTATTGGCAGTGTCTTTGAAAATGAAAGCTTGAACAAATTCGTCAAAATGCGAATACATTCA